TATATATATATATATATATATATATATATATATATATATATATATACGTGTGTGTGTATGTATATATATATATATAAGGCCTCAACCTTAAGCAATCAAAACAAGGTGAATTTCCATATTACGTTGGAATATGTATTTTCAATGTCGGAAACACCTATGATCGCCTGAAAATCGATTTTCACCACTAATTACAAAATTTAAGATCATTTGGCAGCCATCATCCTCGGGGATCTTCAAAGTATCCTCATTCTTTAATTCCCTCACCTCCAACCAAACCACTGCCAATCCCAGTCCGTCACTGTTATCAAAAGCTTAATTCAGGTTTTCTGCTTGATTGCACTCCATGAGAGAGTGTTGACGGTTGATCTTCTTCAAATAAGAGGACTGCAATGACCTAACAGATTCGAGGCTAAGGAATCAAATGCATACTTATTTATCCATTGTGAGTTCTCTAGAGCCCTATGGTCCTATATTTTGGACTTTTTCCAGTGGATTTGGGTCACTCCAATCTACATTCAGCACATGTTAAAGGCTTTCCTCTATACCCCCTGGCCAAAGGCAGGCAGAGAACTATGGAAAGCATTTGTCTCAGCCACTATGTGGGTTTGTGGATCGAAAGGAACTGCAGAATTTTCAGAGAGAGATCTTTGGTCGTGGCTTTGGCTGACAAAGTTAGGAACTTAGTGGCATTTTGGGCCACAAATCATATATTGTTCAAGAATTGCCCCTACACTGATTTCTATAGGAACTGGGACAACTTACTTCAGGTAGCCAGCGCTAAGATCTCGAGAGCATCTCTCTGGATACCACCAGAGCCAGGCTCCATCAAGCTGAATTTTGACAGGTGCTCCCTTGGCAACCCGGGACCCTCTGGAGTAAGGGGTCTCTTTCGTTCCACTGATGGACAGATCTTGCAAGCTTATTCCTGCCCCATAGACTTCACAGATTCAACTCAAGCTGAAGCAAGTGCCCTACTAGAAGGCCTTTGTAGATTTCAAACCACCTGGGGTCCCACCATGGTGATGGAAGGAGACTCCAAAAACATCATCTTGTGGGCATCAGGACTCTCCTTTTGACCGTGGCGTCAAGATGACACATTTGATGAGATATCCCACTTGACTTGGGATATCTCAATCGCTGGGCGCCATAGTTTTCGAGAAGCTGACTCCAACACTGACCAGCTTGCTAATTCTAACACCCCAACGAGGTCTTAGATTTTTGCAAAGCTATCTTCCACCTATTTCGAGTAATTTCATTTGTTCCATTTTTGTAACCCTGTGGGGTTGTATAGGATGCCCTCTAAGAGGGCCCCCATTTTGCATACATTTTATTACTCAGTAATACAATTATAGCCAACATTTCTCAAAAATTATAAAACTTAAGCTCCGAGATGGTACAAATCAAGCAAATCTATAAATGGTTAAAAATCTATAAAATGGACAGTCTAGATATCTCTATTTCCAATAGTTTTTTGGGTAAATCAGTGAAGGAGATGCCCTCTACCCGTTTTTCATTAATAAAAGATAGAAAAAAACACATTGTACTATCTTACAACCCTACAATAAGGTAATTGTGCCACATCATGAAGGAAGGTTAAAAAAATCTGAAAGCCTAGAGCACCAAATAGTGGCCTCTACAAAAACTGTAGCCTTTTTGGCAATAACATTGACCACCATATTAGCTTCACGATAAACATGAAAAATGGATCATGAATGATTCTCAAGTCTAGACTTGCAATTAGCAGCAATGGTATTAAGAGCTCATGGAGCTTTACACCTACCTTGTATGACCTGAACAAATAAGGAAGAATCACTCTCAATTTGCAGTGGGAGGCATTCCATTAAGTGGCTAAATCAACACCCTCTTGTAAACCTCGAAATTCTGCATAATTATTGGTTAAAATCATTTTTTTATCATATCATACATTTGAAGCCAATATTATCAATTGGAGAGATTTTCAACATCAGAACAACCATTTTCAAGGGACTATTGTGGTGCACCTTACTTCTATAGCATGTGTTTAGCACCTTATATAAACTTTTCTCAACACACACACACAGAGTATTGGTGAAGTCTTAAATGACTTACACCACCACGACGGCTACCACCACCAACAACACCATAGCCTAATTATACGAGACTTTCCAACCATCAACCAACTTCCAGTTCCCTACTTTAGCACTAATCAAGTTATTCTTTCAAAAAGCTTCAATGAAGTTATTGTCATCCAAGAGCGTTAAAACTATTCACTTTCCATTTCGTAGCCTTCTTTCCTGCTCAATATATGATACTATCAACACTTCCACCTCCTAAACTATCACACGTTTTGATCAAACAGACAGGTGAACATTTAAGGAGTACACAACATCTGTTATTTGATGGCAATAAATGCACTCTCCAGGTATCATTCGTGGATACCTGGCAGTAAATGCACTCTCCAGGTATCATTCGTGGATACCAAGAATGAAACAAACATAAAGAACAAAGAAATAAAATAACCTTCAAATTCAAATATTTTGTGCCCCAATAAAAATACAGCAGGTCATGAACTTACCGCATCTCAGGTACAATGCTCCCGAATAAAAATAAGATTCATTTTCCAAAAATTGCAGCAATGCAAACAATTATAAATATGTTAATGTTAGTATTATAGTATACCTGCAAGCCGCCCTCACTGAATATGCGAAGATAATTAAGGTTGGTCACAGCTGCGACCCAACCTGAACCAAGTGCAACAGCCTTCACTTCTTCATCACCCTCAAACCGCATAGACCACTGTGTTCACAAAATAAGCATAAAATCAATTTAGTAGAAGTCCCACTGAAACATTTTTTGTCATTAGCAAAGCAAGCAACTTTGTATTGCACAAAAGGATCTGACATCCTCTCCAAAGTTAAGGACTACAGACCTCGCTGTTATTTGCCCAGCTAGCGAATGGCCGATACATGAGCGTGCTTATATTTTTCCCAATCTTGCGACCATTAGCAAAAACACTCCCATTCTCATTAAGTGAAGCCATGGTAAAACCAAAATAGTCAGTCAATGAAGGTATCCTAGAACTCCTCCCTGTATCATGGAAATCAACCTGCAAAATATGAATATCACTGTTGTACTCGTATTATTTATCAGAGACTTGATGTTATTTATCCAAAAAGGATAAATGTGGAATGCAAAGAAAAGAGGAAAAATAGTATACCACAGTTCCTCAAGTATTTACAAATTTGAGAACAAATGAAAGCAACGCTCAAACTGCTCAGAATAATACTTTAGACAGTCATAACTAACTTTCTATTGAGTAAAATGGTTGCTATATATATGACAAAAATTCAGACTTTGATGGACAACTTTTTTATAAATAATTAAAAATTGTCAAACTTAGAAAACAACAAAACTATTGCAAAACTTACCTCGATATGAGAGAACCCATCATTCTTAAGACTGGTGATGCTTCCAAGCATATTATAGCAGAGAAAACAACGTGTCCCAGCCTGTATTGGAGTGGAGCCAGACTGAAAAGCCTCTTGCATCGAGGATTTTGATCGCTCTGGTTTATTTACACTCACAAATTCCCCACCATCCACTGAACTTTCCCGATGCTTAATAAGGGTCTTCTTCCTAGTCTTGCGCAGAGAAATTAAACCCACCTCACCATCACTTTCTTCATCTGAATCACTCCCAACCAAACCCTCTCTACGCAAACGACTCAAACCATTGGGAACCAATTCACCATTGCTATCTTCTCCAATTTGGTCAGAACAACCAGAATTGGCTTGTTCTAGCCTCTCCTCATCATTCAACAAAAACCCATCTGAAATTCTCACTCTAAATTTTGGAGCACCATCAGAAGGGGACTTCATGTGCGAAGGAATAACAGAGTCCCAGATCCCATATCGACCCATGACATCGATAACTGCCAAAGCATTTCCTTCTGGCTTCCAACTCAACCCACAAACTTGGTATTCAAATTTTTGTCTATCAATGTCCTGTTTGTTTTCCACTTCCCATAACAAGACCTGAGAATCTAAACCAGAGGTTGCCATGTATTTCCCGTTTGGGGACCACGAAATGAAACACACAGGTTTAAGGTGGCCACCTTTAAGCGAAAAGAGCTTCTCAGATGTGTCCCGATCATACATTACCACATCATTTTTCACACCAGGAACAGCAAGCATTTCACCATCAGGGCTCCAGCTAATAACATTCAAAGAACCCATGTCTGGAATTGAAGTCGGGGATATTTTTGGGAGGTTATGTATAGATTTGCCTGTAGAGAGGTCCCAATAAATTACAGTTCCAAATTCATCTATAGAAGCTAAATATTCATCCTTTGGGTCAAAAGACACGCTGGTTATGGAGCCTTTGTGACCCTTGAGAACCCTTGATATTGAACTGTCTATAGTGGCTATCAATTTGATGCCTTCATCATCTCCTGCAGCTGCTAAGAGGCTGCCTGATTTGTTGAAAGCAATGCAGCGAATCGGGAGGGTAAACCGAGTTACATTGCTTTGAAACTCGCCAGCTGAATACAAAATAGCAAATTGTAGGAAATGGATATCAGTCAAACTGCAAAATAAATATATAGGTTGTAACCCAACAGTCACATTATTTATTGAAATGACATCATCTGGTGAAAAAATGCAATGTAGTTTGATTTAACTCTCTCTCTCTCTC